TTTTGAATTGGATTTCTCCTCTAATTAAATGGAAGAGAAGAATTGCATTCAAATCGAGGTCACTGGGTCTCACTGACGGGTGATACATAATGCATCAAAAGGTACCGCTCACTAGGTGATGGGTAATACTATATCCATACATTATCCTGTTTCGACAGTCTGATAAATCAATCAATCTAGTTGTTGCGTATCAAGTACGCGAAATTAACAATCTTTCTATTTTTAAATATTTAATTCAATCCTTGAAAATTCCCCATTTTTATTTTAGTATTTTTCCCAAATAATTCTTAGAATTTTAATTATACTCAGCTTTGTCCTCTAGAAAAATTGTAAACTCATAAAATCACCCGAAAATATTTTTCAAATATCTCTTTTAGACCCTTCAGAATTATTTTATTGAAATAATCCTCATATTTCCTCAAGTTTGTAAAGGACATTTCTCAGAAATTTAATCACTGCCAAAATTTGTCCTAATCCCTTCATTCAACTAGTCCATGCGCAACACCCCCTTTCTGTATGCAATGGTATGTCGATGGACTTTTATGATGTTTTTCTATGTTTTTGGGGGTGAGGAATCCGAATCCATCGGTGTTTTTTACCTAAAGTTATGCGAACACTTTGTTATTAACAATTTTCAGTCCCATTTCGTGCAAAATCGTTTTTTTCGCGAAAACTATCATATTTACCGCGAAATAAGTCCTTACCAAATTTATTCCTTAGGTTTTAACGAACAAATTGCTTTTTTATTTGTTCAAATCGGATGATTAGTAATAGAGTTATGCACATTTGTTTATGGGAATAGCGCGCGACAACGTCGTCCACGGGTCGCGCGCGCCACTATCCACCCAGAGTATTTTTTTTCCTTACGGAGATAATGGCAATAGTCGAAAAAACGTAATGATTATTTTAATTAATTATTTTTAACCTAGACGAATGTTATTCAGTTACCTTTAAATCCCATTGTCAGTTGCGGAGATATTTTCGAAGTGTTAAAAAAAGAAGACGCGCGTTGTTTTGAGCAGCATATGTCCACTGTGCCGAATTCAAGGAATCGACACCTGCCCACGCTGTAAACAATACACCAGGATAGTTCTTAGTAAAACAAAAATAACGGTGGACAAAATAATCGTGAATAAAATAGTCAAAAGCGTTAGTACCATCGGGACTTTTGTCGAGTGCAGGTCGCCATAGAGCCCCTGGATTTTGCAGCGATATGTGAATATAATTTTCTATATGAATGCATGAAATTATATTTAATTATTTGAAGAAACTCATGTATTTTTAATGTGCAGACTCTCTCCCTACACCACTAATTTTTTTTTCCACATAATTTTATAAGGATACTGTACTCAAACAGATGAAGCTATTGATATAGGTATGAATATGAATGCAAGCACGTTCGTGGTGACATTGTCGATACTGGCGATGGAATTGAGGTAAATAAATAATGTACTTCCAGGCTAAAAACAATTAATANTACGTTTCTTCTATTATTGCCATTATCTCCGTAAGGAAAAAAAAAATACTCTGGGTGAATAGTGGCGCGCGCGACCCGTGGACGACGTTGGCATGCGCTATTCCCATAAACAAATGTGCATAACTCCATTACTAATCATCCGATTTAAACAAATAAAAAAGCAATTTGTTCGTTAAAACCTAAGGAATAAATTTGGTAAGGACTTATTTCGCGGTAAATATGATAGTTTTCGTGAAAAAAACGATTTTGCACGAGATGGGACTGAAAATGGTTAATAACAAAGTGGTCGCATAACTTTAGGTAAAAAACACCGATGGATTCGGATTCCTCACCCCCAAAAACATAGAAAACTATCATAAAAGTTCATCGACATACCATTGCATACAGAAAGGGGGTATTGCGCATGGACTAAACTCAAAAATTTATATTTCCAAATTACTTTATAGTTTCTTTCCATTTATTGCACTCGACCCTCAACGGTCCCTCAATATTTTCGCCCAGACGCCCTTTATTGGGGAATAGGCCCAAGGCGCGCCAATTTCGCCCTCTCTCCCTACTTCCTGCACTTCCGAATTTTCCATGATACCTCTCCAATCAGAATATTGTCCCTCCCATCACAGGTCATTTTGACCAATCATTTGAAAATTTAGAAAAACCATTTTCCTCCTCCACTTTTCCATCCCTTCTACTTTGAAAATCCAACTTGTCCAAAATTTAATATTTTGTAATCAGTTACGAACTTCATCCCTAGGAAGAAACACCTCATCGGAGGTACCCTCGTGCATTATACCTCTCTACCAAATATTGTTAAAAATAAATATCGACTTTGTTAAAACGTGAGTAATCATTCCAAGTCTTCAATTATCCAAGTCTCCTCACCCTTAACATTCCTCTCATCGAATTCCCCCCTTTCATTAAAAACAGCTACACAAAGATTATTTCGGCGTGTAGCAAAAATTGCAAATACTGTTCTGTGTAGGTCAGATTTCTGGAATTTACGACTCCAGAAAGTTCAAAATCGAACGCAGTATTCTCGCAATTTAATTCACTAGTCGTCAACCGAAAATAATCATCCAACATAGGGGTCTCGATTGTTGTAATTCATAAACCCTCTGACTCACAAACCATATCGGTGTGATGAAAAAACTCGAAACCATATCGGGGTGATGGCAGCCAAGACAAAATGGACCAGTGCCAGAAAATTGATAATTTTTGTTTTTGCTTCCGAATGAAAGCAAACATAAAAATTCAAAGTCATTTGTCATTTGAGGTGATTAGCAAATCTGATCAAATTGCGGTTGAACGACACTTATTGTCTATAAAACCCCTGTGATGGTTACGATCCAAGAAACTCACTTTTAATTTAATGTATTCAGTGTTCCTGATTTGAAGGAAAGAAGAATAAAACAAAAATTACCAATTTTCTGTTAGTGGTCCGTTTTGCCCTTTGGTCCGTTTTGCTGTCCCGGTCCATTTTGCCCTCCCCTCCCCTATATAATAAAAGTTTTGGTAGATAAACAATCCATAATCAGAGATAAAAAGATGAAAAATGTCAGTGATAAAGGATTCGTTAGCAAAAAAATAAAAAAAATGAAAGTTTGTTGATTAACGTATGTGGAATTCCTGGTAAATAGGTGAAATAAAAAAAGATACCGTCAGATTGTGAAATGAATTAATTTTTCAGCAAAGGAAAAGACAAAATTGATGAAAAACTAGTACAAAACTGGTTTTCAAATATTGAGAATTATCCAGTGCAACCATTTATTGAAAATTGAGGTTCTGTTTGCCATGTTTGGAATTATTGGATTTCATGGAATGAAATAGTATTCAAAAATTAATCTCTACAGAGTGTTTATGTTACGGGGCGACCGCATGGGGGCAACTATAAATTCTCAGAACAAAACATAGAACAAAGGATAAAGAGAAAATGCATTTTATGTGGCCCAATATACTGGTCCTTATTTTTCTGAAGCTAGAAAAAGTAAAGATTGAGATGTGTCCTCTACGTGCGACTGAATAAAGAATCACAGTTATATTAAATTCACCGAGTTGTTATTCCAATTCTATTTGCATGGATGATTTATTTTTAACGGAATTTGTTGCAAGTTCCTTCTAATTTGTTCCAAGGAACTTGGAACAAAATTCCTGTTCCCTAATTCCTATTTTGGCAATCGGCCGTGGGCCTTCTGCCAAAATAGGAATTATTTTCAAAATTAACTCTATTCAGATATTTATTCTTTTAATAAATTCGACTTATGCGTCATCCAACGGATGTTGAGTTGCAGCCGATGCAGCTCTAATTACGGGGCTAGCGAGCCACGCGCGGCCTTCAAAATCCCGATATTGCAAATGCAGCGCAACTGCCGATTTTTTGAAGCTCTAAATTTATTCTTTTATAAATTTCCTTTAGTCTCTTCTTAGCTGCCAAACTGGCACGTCCAAAATTTTAGGCTTCTTAAGCTCTGCTCGTGGATGTTATTCCGTAATCAGTTTATTAGTCCTGTCCGGCGTAAAATTTGCAAATACGGAATTAAATACGGAAATACAAACAAGGAATACGAAGAATATTCGCAGATCTTTGTAGCGAAGATCCCGACGCGTAACGGTCGATAGATTGCGCAATTATCTATTACGCTCACGTGTGATAAAAGTGCAATGAACACCATGTGCAATGGACACAAAATTAAATGGAATTCTCTTGAAATAAGTGTTATTGAAAAATTAAATCTAAACTGAAAACTTAAATATTCAATCGAACTATATTTATAAGTAAAAAACAACATTGTGAACAAAATATATGACTATTATTAAGCTCAAAAACTACTAATTTGGAGACGATTCCAGATTGTAGTTCGTACTGAATTATACAAACAAACATTTATTTTGTTTTTTCTATATTATTAACACAAATCCAATTTAATTGGATTCACCCTAAATTTTAATTTGAGACTTTACTCTCTCTTTCCCCATGAAGCTTTTGGGTCGAAATTGTAACAGCGCATAAAAAATTGTAAGATATCTTTTTCAAGAAATAAAATCTCAGTGAATCGATTTTATTGGATTCTATGATCTTTTCATTTTAATCAAAACCTGAAACCAACTCAAATTCCGTTCCACTAAATTCTAAAGATTTAAAGTAATAGAAACGATGAGTGCAGACGTGCCTCGCAATTCAAAGGTATAGTATCCAAGTTAAACAAAGATAATTATTGTATGGTAGAATGGAACAATTGAAAGAACAATTCAATAAATTTATAGATTGAATGGCAGTGAGATGTCTTATTTCAAATTGTTTTTTTTCGTCATTAAATTTATTTCATCCTGTCTACCGATAAATTAGTTTTAGAAAGTTTCACTTCTCTAAGATTTCAGTTGGAGAAATTGACTTCCCCACCATTAACAATCTAAGCGTGTGTAAGTAGTGTGTGAGCTCCTTTGCGCGATATAAATGCGCAATAGGACCACTATAGCAGCACGAGAGGATTGGAACAAACACATTCGTAGTGCTACGGCACTGTTCGCGCGATCGCTACTCATCCCCATCCATGTCGAACGTCTGGCAGCCGTAGGTAGTGGGGGTAAGATTGCGAGTCAGAGGGTTAAAAGAACCCATCAATCAGTACTACATTATTGAAACACCACATTTGCATAAAATATTAATTTCTTTTATAATTCAACCGTTCGTAATCACTTCATTAATTAATTCCTTACACATAATTTTTCAGTAATTTTGCTGGATTTTTTATACATCTAGAAGGAAATCTTGTCATAATATTTTCCTTATCAATATTATAATGTTTATTAGTGGATTGTTTGAATCCTATATTTTTTTCCAATTTAAATTGATCTCAGGTAATCAAAAACAAATCTTCATTTGCCATTCAAACGACAGAAAAAAACTGTTCTAATTCTGTCTGTAACAACATAATGGCGCATAAATTATCGACAAAAAATATAAAATACACTGACTTGAGTTCTTTATCATTTCGTCACCTCGGATCTCATTGAAATGCAAATGTGAACCTCAAACTCACTAGGAAAAAAGAACAAAAAAACGGTTATATGCACATTTCTTCTAGTTTTTCCCGCAAGGTTTCTCACACGAAAAAAAAACTTAATAGCTCCTCAGTATATGGATTCTGATCACATGCATATCGTTCCCGCAATTCACTTCAAGTCGGTGACACACTCTAGCAGAAGCGATGCAAATATAAACAGCCCACAGTCTATCCGCGTGTGAAAAGAATTATAAAAAACTCTTTCCATTATGTAAAACCCGGAAGAAGTGAATCAATCAGCCGATGTTGTCTGCCTATTTAATGAGTAAATTAGCCTTAAATTCAGTGAAACTAAATGCGTCATTTGCCGCTTGATCATTGCCCACCTCGTTGGCCACTGCTCCCACTGCCTCAGTAAAGTTCATCGTACCAGTGAATTGTGACAAAAAAATTTGTGTTTCTGTATTCTGTGTTGAATCAACACAAACGCCCAGTGCTTGGACAACGGACAAGGTGAATTTGGTATAAACGGGGCTATAGTGTACGGGATCATAAATGAGTTTACGTCGTGAACGCGTTATCATCCTACCAATTATAATATTTACCATTCGGTAAACTCAGTACATGCGAATACCGAAACAAAGGCATCCAAATACGAGAGAGTAAGCGGGAGCTGGAGGGGCGAGAGAGTAGGTGAATGGCAGAAAACAGGAACACGAACTGCAGAGGGAGGTGAGGGTGTTTAATATTTCAGTACGATTTCCCGAGTGTAACGATAGGAGGGGGCCGCTGGGCTGTTCTCTGTTTATTCCCATGAGTTTGTTGGTTCCAGTCAACGTACATCGGATTACGAACGGAAAAAAACCGACGAAAAAAAGAGGAAAAAGAGCAGAATTATTAACGAGTTTGATGTCGCGATTCTTTCTCATACATAATTTTATTCCTTTTCTTTATTTACCTTTAGTGGTTTATTTTTAACTTCCCGGGTAGGGAAGTTATCACCTCGAAAATCGAATATCGGGTTTTTACTACATCTTCACGTTTCAAGTTTTCCTCAATCGTTCTGTACCATTCTAGGAAAAATGTCTATGTGAATGTTTGTATATGTGTGCACACAATTTTTCGTCAACGATTTATCCCAAATGAATGGACCGATTCGATTTTTTTATGGATGCGTCATCATGTAACTTAGCCCTGATTCGATTTTGGATGGAATTGATCCAGCGGTTTAATATTTCTTTTTTTTTAGAAAAATATGAAGAACAAAAATCGCAATAACGCAACAAGTTAGGGGAGGGTCAGGAAAAATGGGATTTATTGAGATCTTTTCCAATTGTCAATATCTTCATTTATAAGTCAAAATATTGACAATTAGAAAAGATCACGAAACGTCCCATTTTGCCCGACTTTCCCCTATAAATAAGTGATGAAACAATGCTATCGTGTTTGTTGAGCCGATTTTTAGAGAATGAGAAATTCAAATCGCTGTATATACTGTCAGCAAACGACTTGTAAAATTTCAAGGAAAGACTCTAGAAATTTACAACGACTAATTTTTTTCATGACATTTTCCTACATATTGTTCACTGTTAGAAATTTTTTGAAATTTCATGGAAGATATGACAGTAATTCTCATGAGAGTAACAGTGAATTGGATTAAGGGGAAAAATGGTTATGAAATTTCACAACTTGATGGAATTTTCAATAGAATATGAACTTTCAACACCAAAATGACATAAATATTCCATTTTCCCTGAATTTGCTTGATTTTTAGGAATTTTCACAAAGTAATTGACCAACAAATCAAGAATTCAAGGGAATTCGTGAGTCTTCACTGGGAGTGAGATGGAAATTTGATTGAATTTTCGGTTATAATACCCCGAGACCTTCAAAATTATCGGAATATTTCTCGATAGCTTCGTTGCAAACAAACGAAAGTGTCAAGTTTTGCAGGCTAAAAATTGAAAGCTTCAGGGAAATATTGCGATTAATTTTGAAGGTCGAAGGGTATTCGACGGAGAATTTTTCGGGACTGGATTTTGGCCAAGTGGAGAGCAGTATTCGAGGGCTTCTTCCAGCAAAACATCCAATTGGTTAGAAATAAATGAATAGCTACTATGCAATTATCAGATGCAATTTCCAGAAGCTAGTGTGCAATTCCGAAAAAATTTGATAACAAAAGAGTATCATGACCTCCAATACTGCGCTGTGATTGGCTACAATCCAGTCCCGGAAAATTCTCAATGGAATATGAATATTCAGAAACAAAATAACATAAATTTTGAATTTTTCCTTGAATTTTCCTGGTTTTTCTCAATTTTCACGGAGTGATTGACTGAAAAATCAAGTATTTTATCGATTTTCAGATCATTCGAACAGAAAATCAATGAAATATTTGATTTTTCAACGACAAGATTTCCTGAAATTTAAGTGGATATTGAATCCGATAAAAATTTCCGGGATTTGGCACGGAAAATTCAGGCGAAAATTTGTAACAGTATTCTGGACGAATGAGTTAAACAATTAATTTGAAAATCAAATTCTTCTTTGCCCTAGTATACGATTTCCTTGGGGATGATGTATCAGTTTCAATTTGTCTGTTTGTACTACATTTATCGATAATTCAGATTCGTACCTTTTTTAATTGATTTTTTTAAATTTGTACAGAAAACGGATTGCGATATCATTCAAGGCTGAATGAATTCCAATGAAAATCGTCTCAACTATTGTGTTCATTTATCCGGATAAAACTATCAGATTTTGCGTTTTTTGCGTAATGAATGAAGGAAACCCGAGTGGAAAATCCGGTCAGGTCTTGATGAAGTTTGGATCAGGTTAGACCTGACCACTGATCAGATATTGAGCAAATTGACGGATCCGGTCTTGATCAGACATGTTACGCCTCTGACCAATCCGGATTTGATCAGGACGAATGGATCCGAAATTGAACAAGTCAACTGTATGAAAACCGGATAACCTGTCTGTCAGTATCAATTATAATTATCAATGATAATCCAAAACAAAAGATAATTCAATTCTTTCACCGTAGGCCGCCTTTCTCTTAATGAATCTCTACTGTTATTATCTCTGAAAAAGCTTATCATTTTTTTACCGATGCTGGGGATCGAACCGGGGACCCTATGATTACTAATCCTATGCCCTAATCACTACGCTATCACACTATTACTATTGAGTAAACTGTACATTGCCTATATGATTTGTATCGGAGTATTCGTTGAATTTACGATTATTCCTGATCTCGCGGATGTGCGTGTGTATTCTCAGAGATAAAATGTGTTCAATTAAATTTTTATTTATTTCATTAATGAATAATAATAATGATAATAATAATAACACTAATAAATAAGTAGACATTTGGTGATTTTTTCTCTCAAGATCGTTTACGTGTAAGTTTGATACTCCTCTAATACCTATTTACGGCATCATCATCCCTCCCTTCTGTACGTTTGAGAAGGGCTGGCTGTTAATTAAATTGATTAATTAAATGAAATTCATTGAATTAAATCAATTAAATTAAATTGATTTAATTCAATGAATTTAATTTAATTTGATTTATTTATAGTATTATGATCCTTTTCAAAGATTGAAAATAATTATTGATAATGGTTGATAAAACTTAATTTGAATAGTATAATAATAGTTAATTTAATTATCCGATAAACTTATTAAAATTAATGTCAGGTGGACCGGATCAGAATCTGATCATTTTCTCTTCAATTAACCCCGTTCAAATGCCGATCAAAGACATCAAATCTGAATTTGCTTACGTTGGGATCAGGCAGCCGACCTCAGGGTGAGATCGTGCCTACCTGATCAGAACTTAATCTGAATTATCCTGCAGTTTTTCGGATCCGATCTACTGGATTAAAACTTGGTCAGGTTCTCATCAGGCATCATCTGATCATGTCTACCTGATCAGAACCTGATCTGAATCCGCCTGTAGTTTTTCGGATCCGATCTGCTGGATCAGAACTTGGTCAGGTTTTCATCAGGCATCATCTGATTATGTCTACCTGATCACAACTTGATCTGAACCCGCTTGTAGTTTTTCGGATCCGATCTGCTGGATCAGAACTTGGTCAGGTTTTCATCAGGCATCATCTGATTATGTCTACCTGATCACAACTTGATCTGAACCCGCTTGTAGTTTTTCGGATCCGATCTGCTGGATCAGAACTTGGTCAGGTTTTCATCAGGCATCATCTGATTATGTCTACCTGATCACAACTTGATCTGAACCCGCTTGTAGTTTTTCGGATCCGATCTGCTGGATCAGAACTTGGTCAGGTTTTCATCAGGCATCATCTGATTATGTCTACCTGATCACAACTTGATCTGAACCCGCTTGTAGTTTTTCGGATCCGATCTGCTGGATCAGAACTTGCTCAGGTTCTCATCAGGCATCATCTGATCAGTCGAACCTTACAAAAACCTAATCAAGTTCTGATCGTGCTTCAGGTGGGCCTGAAGCAATTTCCACTCGGGAAGGCAGTTGGTCAGGAAGTTATTGGTTCGACCTGTAATCGGTCTCACCCACTCCATCCCACCCGCAATGGGAGTGAGCGAAGTGGGCGACCAACAACCGAGTTAAACTTTTTTTTTTTTTTTCAAAGAAAGGTGAGGTATTCTGGGAGATGAAAGTGCAGAGCTTAGTATCATGAGCTGGTTTTATTTCGGTGATTCTGCAGCGAGTTTTTGCCCTCCAATGGCGATGAGATCTTTATCGAATACGCGATAGCGTTTCAACACTCGGTGAATGAATGTCAGGAGAAAGAAAGCGAAGGGCCAGGGAGGAGAATGGTTAATCGAGCGTCACTGCGTGCTTGCCGTCGCCACGGAACACCCAGGCACACTCGCGAATGAGGGAATCTTCTTCTTCGTGGTGGAATATAAGAACGAACGAATGGAGAACACGTGTCTCCGGAGTCACGGGTGGCAGTGTCCTGTCTCAGGGAGATAAATTTCAAAGGGCATTTTTTCGGAGAAATAAGGTGGGAGATATGTGATAATAGAGGCGTTGAATTTGTTCGTAAATTGGTGAGGAAGATTGAGAATGATATTGGGGGAATCTGGTTTTCTTGTACACTGTTGAAAATTTTGTCTGAATTTTCCATGTGAAATCCCGGAAATTTTTATCATGTTCAATTTCCACTGAAATTTTAGGGAATCCTGTCATTGTAAAAATCAAATATTCCATTGATTTTCTCTTCGCATTATCAGAAAATCCATGAAAATTCTCGATTTTTCAGTTCAATTATTCCATGAGAATTCGGAAAAATCCGGAAAATTCAGTGAAAAATTGAAAATTCATCTAATTTTGTTTCTGGATTTATCATGTTCCATGGAAAATTCAACCAATTTGTGAAATTTCCATCTCACTTTTACTGAAAAGTCATAAATTTCTTTGAATTTCATCTAAAACTTGAAATTTCTTAACTATTATTCCCCTGAATCGAATTCAATGTCACTCTCATGTGAGTTATTACCATATTTTCCATTCACTTTCGAAAAATTTGTAACAGTGTATGCTGCAAAATTCAAGTCAACTATGGAACAATATTCGAATTCATTGATACAATTTTAATCAATTCATCGAACATTCTGATCAATTTACATAAATATCTGGGTGAACTCTGTGTCCTAAAAGTAGAAATTTTAATTCAATATTGCACTGCTTCTGTATGTTCTCATCAATTTTCAAACTTTTCCAC